TCCAAATGTTGTGTGTTATTTAAGATTATTTTAAAGTATCTTTAACATGTATTTCTCAAAAAAAATTACACTAAAAATCCAAGAATTACGTTAAAATCTTCAAACTTGAATTTAGATATAGACTTATTACTTATATTTATAATAAAAAAAGTAACCTGTGTGTGGCACTGAAATAAGCAAAAAAAAATATCGTGTTTGTGACACAAACGATAGGCAAACGACAGTTGTTTTGAGTAATATGGACCGCTGTAATAAAAACCTATACACTTCCACAGTCGATTTTTTTGAAGTTAATTACTTTAATAAAACCCAATTCCCTGGTCTAATATCGCAAGAAATTTAGCAACCCGTCATTCACCAAAAATATGTAGATATAGTCCGTACGCACAGTTTGGGAATATTTTGACAGAGTCATTGTCGAAAATGTACTTCGAAAAACCAAAAATTCCTACCTCTCATACTAATAGCTTAAAGAAACTTACTGTTGCAGACTTCTTTCATCGAAAAAAGAAGATTAATCATGCATAAGGGAGTTTATATTCATTAAAAACTTTCAATTTGTAAATACTTATATATAAACCATTATTAAATTTCAAAAATATACTTTTGTTTTATTGGATGAAGTTTTTTATTGCTAATAAACTACACGTGAATATTTTTTTTGCTTAAATATTGGTTATAAGGACTTATTCTTGATTTTATAGTAATGTACACCCACTGCCAGTTGGTCGTCAAAATTTAACCAACATAGCAAAATAATAATTACTAAATTTACTAAAGAGTTGGGACTAAGATCAGCAAACCGGATATATTTAAGTTCTTCACAAATGAAAGTTTATCATAGGAAATGGTTTAAATAACATAAAATAAATATTTTTCCTTTGAGAACTGATTTTGGTCAATCCACCTCGTTATAATGGACGTAAAAAAGTTTTGTAAAGAGCATTAGCTCTTATATCGTAAAGAAATAAATAAGTACAATAAAATGACAATGTTGTGGTGCTTTTCTCAGATCAACGAGAATTTTTCTACAGAAAAACATATGCTTTCTATTAATGTAGAGCATGCATCAGGTTTTTTATGGCTACACATAATATTCCACTCTCCCAAGTACTTATGAATATAAGTTTTGTAGCTTATATCTAATCAAAGACTTCAACATCAAATTTAAAGATGTTGCTAGTAGTTTTTCTTGTCAGTTTCTTAAAAAACCTGATGAACATTGTACAATTTTCAAATAAGTACTGAAGTGGCAAAATTATAGGTTCCATTTTATGACTAGATGATATAAAGAGCCGAGCTGAAATTTTAAGATCTATATTTCAATTTACGTTCTTGAAACAAATCCAAGTATCTACATATTATTATGAGAGAGAAAACCCAAAGGAATATAAAAAATAAATGTGTACATTTTTCATGTCATTCCTATTTTCAGATTAAATATCAAAAAAATTCAGCTTGAATCGTATGTTTACAGTTAAAAACCAAAAGAAGTTAATTAAAATCAATTAATTTTTAAAAAGATCAAAATAATATTATATTAAAAAGTTGTTATTTAAAAAGTCCCCTTCCCGAACTATTTGATATCCTTAGAAACAGACAGAAGTCTTTTACAAAAAACATGGTGACAAATCGTCAATATAATTTTAATCAACTTCTGATTTAACATAGCCTCTCATTTCAAATTTTGTCGTACTTATTTTCTCCTGTGGTAATCTATATAAATATTTATAATAAATATTAATATATCTATCATAGATCTTGAATACAAAGTTATTACAAAAAAGGTAATATCGATGGAACATCAGGTGGTTGCCTTTGTAAAATGTTACGAATGTGGTGATCACTGATCAAGTACTATATGCAACAGTAAAAATAATAAGTATATAATAAATTTTATGGATCTCAGAAGGGTATCCAGTTTAAAAACTGTAAACTAGACTGTATATATTTTTATGTACCATCAAAGGGCATAAACATTTCTACAAACGTTCTTTAATAATGCCAGAAGTGCCAAGAATCTCCAGTTCAGCCGCTATTTATATGAAATCTGGACTAACAATAGGTATTTGGAATCTAAAGCTAAGATCTGACACAACGAAGAGCGGAGTTCTTCATTGGCGAAGAAAAATAGAGATTACATAATAAAAAAAGACAAACTCTAAAGAGGAAAACCAACGCAACGTGGAATATTTTTCCCTCAATATTTGTGGTTTATGATCCCTGGGATAGGGCAAAACTGTCTATTTATCATGGGTGCGTGCTGTCCCGTCATGTGTCAGTAAATAAACACGGTTCAAAGTAAGGTTGGAAGCTGATGCATAGCACGTACTTCAGTTAATTGATCTCAAACGACTGTTTGAAAACGAAAGTTAAATATTTGGTCTGCAGTTAAACATATCAAAGACAAAGATCATGCTAGTGGATAGACTAGATAACAATCATCCATACATAACCACGATTGACCGGTTTGAGGTTGCGACCTCATATTTATATCTGCGATCATGGATTACAAACTCAATGTCACTACATAAAGAAATAAAACGTAGATGTAATCTAGCAAAAGTCGCTGTAGGAAAGATGACCTAAAATATGGAAGAAACTCAGAGTCTCAAATTTTTCACGAACTCTAAAAATGAGGTTGATCAACTGCTTAATATTCCCAATACTGACATACGGATGTAAATCTTAAAATCACCTAGACTATCCAGCAAAGTTCATCTCCAACAATTAAAATACTTTGGACATGTTATGAAAGCAGATACAGAAAAGGTGGAAAGACTTATTATTCAAGGAATAGTAGACGGCTGGAGATCACGGGGAAGATCCCTAACAAGATGGATCGATCAAATTACAGGAATATGCCAAAGACCTATGCATTAGTTCAAAGAAATGACCAGAAACAGAGATCTTTGGAGGCGGACAATACACGACATCACTATGACCACTACACTCCTTCCGGGGGTCGGAATTGAGATGATAGAGAATGTGAGGTGCCAACCATGTTCTCTTGTCTTTTTACTATGATCTATTTTCTATTTTTCTTTGTTGACGTGAACTGTCATTAGTGAAATGTGTTCGCCTGGTCACGGAAGGTGCAATATAAATGACCATATAGTCATAAACTCAGGTAAAATAAGTATTTATAATTAAAATAGAAGCTTTCCAAGCAAGTTGAGAGATTTATTAAATCAGTATGCTAGGTATCCGACAGGGTTATCCTGATCCAATTGAGGTCCAAAACTTCTAATATAAATCTCTTCCAGGTATATGCACCAACTGCAGAAAGCAGTGACAGAAAAGTTTTAATATTGTTCTGAAGCTATTTTCATGTGGCATCTTAAAGCAATTACTATTTTAATGGAAATACGCCACAGTTAAAGTTTCAAATAAGTTTATTGGCGTTTCAATTTCCACTTCGGAAATCCTTTACTCAGATCTTAAAAGTATAACTGACAAGGTAAAGAGTAGATATGTCAATGGGAGATAATAATGAGAAGATTGGTAAAACGAAAGAAAAAAATGTTGTAGAAGAGTTTTGGTCTTGAAGAATGCAACGATAGAGGATAAATGCTTTTAAAATTCTGAAAAAGAAATTTTACACTTGGAGAGCTTTAGCACATAGTATCATACAATATCCCTTTAGACCATATTCTCTTAGTCGGTGATTTGAAACATAGACTCAGGAAACTTATAAAGCATCATCCCAATCGCTGGTTCGATTTCGACACTTCAAGTTACTTTCACTGTGTATTGAAGACTTCTACGCATAAGGTGGTTTAAAAGAGTGACAAATGAAGGGTATTAAAACGTCTAAAAAAGCAACCGAATAAAGAAAAATCGTAAAAATACAAAAATTAGTATGTGGAAAAAGGGGTTCCGGTCGAAGAAGAACATCATGGATTTATAACCTAAGTGAGTGGTTTAATCAGTCTGGTCATCACTCTTCAAATCTGCGGTGAATAAAGTTATGATAGCCAATATAATAGTCAACGTTCAGTAATTTAAATGGCAGAAAGAGAAGGTGAAGAACGCCAATTTACAGAATAAAGTACCATATAACTACTCTAAACAATTTAAGATTTTTCTTAAAGAGCTCTAACTACCAGTACAGTAATATTTAACCATATCCTAGAGAACAAACAAAAAAAAAAAACAGGAAAACGAAGATATTCGTATGTTTCGGTACCTGTCCTAAATCGCTTCGAAAAGCAAGAAGTAAGGAACCGCAGTTTGATTTTGACTAAAACAGAGACCGTTGAAACTAGAATAAAAGAAATTGAGACAGAGGCAAAATCTTTGAGTAGCAGAAGAATAAGAAAAAAGTTATAGACACAACAAAGGGTTTTCATTTAAAAAATGCTAAAGTAATACAAATACAATACACAGTGTTAACAGGTATAATGAAATTAAAATTCTATCGAAACTCGTAACTTTTTACAAAGGCATCCACAATTGAAACCATTATAATATTCATTTCTTACATTTATATCCAAATAAAAAAATGTTTTTACAAGATATTTACTTATAATTTTAGTACTTAATGTAAAAATTAAGTTTCCGGGGCAGTTGTGTATCTTTCAATTCCCTTATCTCCAATTATTGTCCTCCTGGGAGATAGCATAAGAAAAAAACGACATACAAAATGATCATACTGTCAAAAAATCTATTACCAACATAAATAATATTCATCACTGCGATTTGTGTGCTACAATAAACCAAAGCGGCTTCTCTATTACTTATTATGGAAAAGCTGAACATTTTTTATTAAAGAAAACACGAAATTTTTTGACGAATACTATTTAGTTAGTATTAACATATGTGTAAATATAATTTAAGAAGTGTTGGTTATTTAAGCTTGTTGAAAAACAGAGTAAAACTGTTAATAATGTTGTTGGTTAATGTTTGTTATTGTTTATTCAGGTAAGCTCACTCTGTAGTTGGATTAACACCGACTAAAGTACTGATTTAGTTCGTTGTGAATATCTAGATTTTCTTACCATGGGGCCATTTTTGCCATAGTCACCTGGTCTTCCGCTTTCACCTCTAAGTCCCATCGGACCCTGAAACATAATTAATACATAATTAATAAAACATATTTTATTTAAAATACAATAAAGACACCTTGTCGGCATTTTTAACGAATGCAATCTGGTCAAATGACCAATGAGCAATTCATCTCTAACCTAATTCATCGATGATTTACTAAAACTAATGTAATACTCCTATTATATCTAACAAATAATTCACTACTAGGCTGTGGTCTTATACTAAATATTTAAACCAACCCCAAGAGTTTGATTTTTTAGAGTCATCTTTTTATTTAATTGATGTCAAAAAATTCGACCAATTAATATTCGTGAATTGCTACTGTCTTCTTGATTATTTTATATACATTTTATTTTTCATGCCCATCTTTCGATATAGATCATCTTCATCATCATTGGTACTACGTCCCTAGTTAACTCTCGGCCTTCACAAACTTTTTTTGTTCGGCCTTATAAATAACGATTTATATACATGCATCCCATTCCTGGTTTATTGAGGGTTTGCGTTTTGTATCTACAGTAGTTATAAAATCATTAATCTGCTATTTCAAGTGTGTCCTACCAATCACCACACTTTTGAGGCAGGCGAAGTTAATTGCCCGGCTTCCGTTTTTATGTGTGACATCAGGTAAGCCAAATCCACCAATATCTGCTTGGTAGCATTTTTTTGACCAGTCTAATTATACTTTTCATATCACTTCGAGTGCATCTGTCATAAGCAGATTCCAATTCTTTATAAAAGTGGGTAGGACATAAAATGTTTCTTCTTCTTCCTCTTTATAAACAATGCTGCTTGTTTATTTGCGGATTAATACCTCTATGGAATGTTTACACTCCATTTTTTGCACGGTCGCCTTCTTTTGCCGATTGGTGATTTATCTTTTGCTATTTTGACTACACGGGTCTCCTCATTCTGCTTATGTGGTTATTACATTCTTTTTTTTATTTTGTGTCCATTCATTTATGCACTGTACGTTTCTGCCGTTTCCAGTAGCATTTGCGTTGTGGCTGTGTAGGGTCTTGTTTCTGAGGCATGTTATTATTGGTCTTACGCTGGCTTTATAAATTCTTAACTTCATCTTAGTATTAATGTGTCTGTTTCGCTATATTGTGCTATTAAGGCATTCTGCCAGTCTATTTCCTTTTTGTACTTGATCTCTCATTTCTTTGTCCAGGTCTTCATAGCTAGGCAGTGTAATTCCCAGATATTTTATTTCCATTAGTTGGTAAATACTGATGAAATCAATTGCTATTTAACATCTGGTTGGTTCTTTGCTGACTACTATTGTTTTAGTTTTCTGAGATGATATTGTTATATTAAATTCCTTTGCTCTTATGTTAAATCTGTGGACTAGTCTTTCTGGTCCACATAAGAATTTCTTATTTTTTAGCAAGGTTTTGAAACTACTTTAAAATTAAAAGTGAAACTGGAACAAACCATGAAGTGGAGATATCCAGGAGTGGCTAGTATACCTGTTGAATACAAAGCACGTGGTGTTCGTGTGTATTAAGGTATAAAAAAATGCTTATTAAAAGCTTAAAATTTTTATTTTAAAGAAGATCTTTTCGGAATTGAATCATTCCATCATCAGTTTACTAAAAGAGAGAGTAAAAATACCAATATTAAAAAACAAGTAAGTTAAAATTTAAATATATAAAAAGAACACGTTGGTTTTTTACTACTTACATAAAAAGTTGTTAAAAAACATTGTATGGCCACATAAAAACATTGGAAGGACATCCGTATTAAAAAACAATCCTCATGGTATTTATAAAGGTAAATGCAATAGACTGTTAACTTGTTGATTAATAAAAACTGAAAATGGGGGCATCTTACATGACCCCCTGTAGCTGGTGAGGTTTTATCGACTTACATTACCTCTGATCTGTGCTGGAGTCTAGGGCTAACTGATAGAAAGATGGTATGAAAAATCAGTTAGTACCCGTCAATGTCAAGTGGAATGATGTAGTAGGAGCAAAAGTCATTGTGCTTAAGTTTGTGAATAGGCCGTTTTTAGTGAAAGAATTGTGTTTTGTGTGTAGTAGGATCAATAGCAATTTTTGGTATTTTAAAAAGGTGGGAGAATGTAAAACAATGAGTGACTGTGATGTAAAATAAATTTGGTATACCAGGGTAAGGCACAATTTAAGTTAGGTAGTTGAAATTAATAAATCATTTTAAAGGCGATAAAAAGAATGTATTACTAATTGTTTCCTTGTATGAAGTAAGTATAGATAAAAGTTGGTTTGAAATTTATGGAAGATGAATCGAGGAAAAGAAATAAAAGAGAAAGAAAGAAAAGGAAATAGGAGATGAATGTAAAGATGTAAGCTGAGGATACTGAATTGAAATGTAGAAGTAAGTAAAACTGGATGTGTAGTTAAAATAAAGAAAGTTCTTTCTTTCTTTTAACTACACATCCAGTTTTACTACTTCCATTTCTTTCTATTTTCCCATAGCTTAATATCACCCTATATAATCCGCCATACTTAACTCTATTCTTGTCACCATTAATACACTAACATCCCCCTTTTCCAATATCCAATTTCCCATCCTCTCCAATAACTACCATCTAACTAATCACACAGGTTTTCTTATAAATACTCACTTTACATCTATCAATCTCTTATCACAATCAGTTTCAGTATCCCAGCTTACATCTTTACATTCATCTCCTATTTCCTTTTCTTTCTTTCTCTTTTATTTCTTTTTCCTCGATTCATCTTCCATAAATTTCAAACCAACTTTTATCTATACTTACTTCATACAAGGAAACAATTAGGTAATAACATTCTTTTTATCGCCTTTAAAATGATTTATTAATTTCAACTACCTAACTTAAATTTTGCCTTACCCTGGTATACCAAATTTATTTTACATCACAGTCACTCATTGTTTTACATTCTCCCACCTTTTTAAAATACCAAAAATTGCTATTGATCCTACTACACACAAAACACAATTCTTCACTAAAAACGGCCTATTCACAAACTTAAGCACAATGACTTTTGCTCCTACTACATCATTCCACTTGACATTGACGGGTACTAACTGATTTTTCATACCATCTTTCTATCAGTTAGCCCTAGACTCCAGCACAGATCAGAGGTAATGTAAGTCGATAAAACCTCACCAGCTACAGGGGGTCATGTAAGATGCCCCATTTTCAGTTTTTATTAATCAACAAGTTAACAGTCTATTGCATTTACCTTTATAAATACCATGAGGATTGTTTTTTAATACGGATGTCCTTCCAATGTTTTTATGTGGCCATACAATGTTTTTTAACAACTTTTTATGTAAGTAGTAAAAAACCAACGTGTTCTTTTTATATATTTAAATTTTAACTTACTTGTTTTTTAATATTGGTATTTTTACTCTCTCTTTTAGTAAACTGATGATGGAATGATTCAATTCCGAAAAGATCTTCTTTAAAATAAAAATTTTAAGCTTTTAATAAGCATTTTTTATACCTTAATACACACGAACACCACGTGCTTTGAAACTGCTTTCTTATGGCATGGTTAAGTTAAAACTTATGTTTTTTTATGGGCTTAAGCCATAATTATTGGTTATGATTATATAAATGATATGAAAATCACATAAGTAGTATTTCAGGTTTCGATTTCCACTACGGAAATCGTTCTCAAAAAAAAAAAAAAATTTTTGTACATTGAAAACACACAGGTTGAAATACACAAAAACAGTCAGAAATTCATGTTCTCAGGGTAATAACACCACCCTTAAAATGTCATGCAGCCACTAGGGGCTATTAGCCTACAAGATCCAGGTTAGGCATGTCAACTTTTAAATGACATAACCAATAACAACATCTTCTTTTATACACATTTCTATATAATTCATCGAGTTAGAATCTATGGAGAGGGCATCACGTGACTAAAAACGACCTCACTTCGGCCATATTGTTAATATTGTTTTGAAACTTTTGACAGATCGTATATGTTTGTTTACATTTGTTGTTTTTCGAATATTTTCAGTTTTATAATACTTTTATAGAAACTGTAATATATTGTGATAGTGCATAATAATGGTTTCTTGTTCTCAACGTAGTTGCAGTAGCAGAAGCAATGTTAATAAAAAATCTTCAGGAATATCGTTCCACAGGTTAGTATACAAATATGTAAAACAAAGTAATGACCCGTACTTCAGAGAGTAAATTAATAGTATTTGACTGTATTAATTTATCTTTATGTATAATATATCGTGTTTTTAGTGTTAACCGCGGGATAAATAAATCATAGTTTATTAAATGTATTACACTTTTTTAGATTATGATTAAATCTTCTGAATAACTAGTCATATTTGTATAGTAGTTTTAATATTATTGAGTCTGGCCCTGATGTCAACGCCATATTGGTATTATCGTTAGCCACTCCTATCTACGCCGTTTTTAATACATATGTTAATATGCTCATAGCTTCCTAATAGATTTTAACTCGAGGATATAATTGTACAAGAAACCTATCATAACCAATAATTGTGACTAAGTCCCATAAACAACATAATATTCTTATTTTTTGTATATTTTTGTATTCCATTTATTCTATTCATTCTGTCTCCTGCTTCTATATGACATGTAGCTTCTCCTTTTAAAAATTTTAAAGTGTTTGTTTGTCTTTGTGTATTGTATTTATGTCCAAATTTACATGTATGACATTTTGCTCACGTTGGATAGGCCACAACTGACGAAATGCCCCTGAAGATGATCTATTGATCGAAAGTACTTGGGCAAGATTTAATTAATTACTGTGTTCGATAGTTGCCTTGTATACCATCAAAATATTTTTGTATTAACACAAATAAAATTATAATATGACTATTTAATTTTTTTGCATTTAAATATAATATAATATAATACCAATGTTAACTGTATTATTTTTTATCAACTAATCTAAATACATACATTTTTAAACATTTATTTTATTGTTTCTTTTATAATTTTTTTTAATAAAAAAATTAGCCCATCATATACGAATTACCCAAATGAGAGTGATTTAAAGCATATACCGTCTGATCTTAATAGACAATAAACATAAATAACACTTACAGGAAGTCCCATAGGTCCTGGATCTCCCTTTGAGCCTTTTTCACCCTATAAAAAAATATATATAAAATTCTATACATATGAATAAAAACAAATATTAAATCAATATTAAAGGTTGTCCCTAGCTAAGATCCGTCTAATTCAAATGGCTAAAATAATGTTAATAATGGTTAAATCATAGCCATGGTACCAAAATGTCAATACAGCAACTTATAAAAGAAATATGGACACAGAAATCTCTCCCCAATGACTGGAATATTGAAATACTTTGCACCATATACAAAAAAGGAGATATCTGACCATAGAGGAATTAAGCTTCTAAATACAGAGTACAAAATATTTTTCACAGCACTATGTCACCGTCTTGCACCATATGGAGAACGGATAGTAGGAAAATACCAGACAATTCATCAGATCGCAACACTGAAACACATTTTGGAAAAAACACTGGTATATGGCATTGATACACATATGAAACACATATGGTACATGCGCATAGAAGAGAAATGTTCAAAGCAATGAAAGAGCTAGGAATACCAAATCAGTTGGTAAATTTAACAAAACTAACTCTTGAAAAAGTTGAATGTAGAGTACGAATTCAGGGGAACTGTCTGAACCTTTTAAAACAAATAACGGGCTGCGCCAGGGAGACCCTCTCTCCTGTATACTGTTCAATCTGGCTCTGAAAAAGTAATACGTATGTCACAAATCACAACCACTGGTTCAATATATAATAAATCAGTGCAAATCCTGACCTATGCTGATGATATCAATATTGTTGGGAGAACGGAAAACGCTGTACGAGAGAAGTATGTAGCATTAAAAGAATCAGCTACAAAAATGGGTTATAATAATAAACACCAACAAAACGAAGTATATGAAAATAAGCACGCAACCACAAATCCTACGACCACTTGTTATAGAATCAATCCAGTAGTAGAAAGAATAAAAGATATTGTCTGGGTACTTTTCATTCTTCATTGTCTCCTTATTTGTATTTTCATATCTCTGTATTTGGCGATCTTTTCGTTGTATTTAACACACAGATTATTGTTGTTTAGTATCGCCACGTCGATTAGTGTTGTTTTTCTCATTAGTTTATTAACTAGTAGGAGATCTGGTCTATTGTGCGCTACTGTTTGGTCTGTGAGCACATTGGGGTCCCAATATAGCTTGAAGTTGTCATTTTCGAGCATATTCTCTGGCGTATTAATAATATGGGAGACGGTTTTCTTGCAGAAATCCCAGTTTGAAAGCCACTTCTTGATGAAGGATTTTCGCTACTGAATTATGCCGTTCCTTATACTCAGTTGCAGCAAATGCCTGGCAGCCCCAGTGTTGGATGGATTCTTGGGTTTGACATCCATATCGGCAGTTGTTATATATTATATGAATGTGCGTGTTCAAGAATAACTGTTCTAATATTTTTATCTGTTGTCAATATGTACTTTATTGCAATTGATGTCGACACACTCACAGATTTATCGTTTTTACTAATGCTATCAATGAATTTTTGTTCAGATAAATATGAGACATTTATGTACCCTTTCTACATTAATTTAAACGGCTATACTATTGCTTTTATAGTAAATTTTTTCAGTTTGCTCTTAAAATCGATTCTCTACATTTCACAGTTTTATTGAGTTTTAAATTTACTGTATTAGAAGCAATTCAAGTATATTCTTTCTTTTAGCCAGTGCTTTTAGACAGTCAAATAAGATTTTACTTTAAATGACCTTGTTTATGAATGGTAATTAGATAGATTAGATCAGTGATATACAAGTTAGGTTATGTAGTATTTACTTATATTTATTATGAATTCTTTAGTTTATATGAAATTCATAATAAATAAAAAATAAAAAATTCATGACTTCCTTATATTCAAAGACAATAAAGCTCCAGGAATCGATGAAATTTGTTTGGAAATGTATACAAAAGGTGGTGTTCAACTTTTTGCAGCAATCCATAAACTAATAGTACTTATATGGCAGAATGAATGGGTACCAGAAGAGTGGATGAAGGGAATAATATGTCCGTTGCATAAAAAGGGTGAACAACTGGAATGTAAGAACTATAGAGGCATTACTCTGTTAGCATCTGCGTATAAAATTTTCGGCAATGTATTATTTGAAAGACTTAAACATTTTACAAATATTGTTGAGCAATATCAATGCGGATTTACCAATCCGTACCTTTGAGCAAGTCAAACAATTTATATATCTTGGATCGCTAGTAAACGCAACAAACACGACAAGCGACGAAATAAAAAGACGCATAGCAATAGCAAACAGAACTGTTCACGGTCTCCAGAAACATTTAAAAAATAAAAATATAAAACGTGCAGTAAAGCTTAATATATACAAGACCTTAATAAGACCGGTTTTGATATATGGGACTGAAACGTGGACCTTATCTCAAAATGATGAAAGACTTCTTGGTATTTTTGAGAGAAAAATTCTTAGAAAGATTTTTGGGGCCGTAAATGAAAATGGGCTATGGCGTCGAAGATACAACTTTGAACTATATCAGTTATACACCGATCCAGATATTGTGAAATTCGTTAAAGTGCAGAGACTTAGATGGGCTGGACACATTGCTAGGATGTCAGATCACGAATACACGAAGAGATTAACATTTTCAAAACCAGAGGGCACAAGAAGCAGAGGACGACCACGAATGAGATGGATTGATGATGTGGAAGAAGACCTACAGATTCTAAGGACTTATTTGTGAGCAGGCCAAGATCCACAACGGATTGTTGAGCCACTTATGATGATGATGATGAATTCCTTGTTTAAGATTGACTAATGATCCGAAGAAGGAAGGCTTATTCTAAGACCTACTATTACGTTTTTTCGATGGATCGTTAGTAAGCTAACATTCTATATAGCACGTATAACTTTTGTTATAAATCTTCATATCTATAAATTTCCAAATCATTTTAGAAAACCCAGTTATCAATCCATGCCAGAATTTCCATTGATATAAAAATTGAACTTACTGGTTCACCCTTTAGTCCATCTGCACCTCGATCGCCCTTGATACCTGGAGGACCCTGTAAGCCTGGTACTCCTGGTGGACCGGGTGGTCCTGGAGGTCCCATAATCTGTTTACAAAAAGAACACAATTAAGTAGGTACATTATATTTGGAATTTGGATACGATTTTTTAACAGCTGGTAATCTTTAACTTTTTTTATTTTAAAGTTACGCAAACACAGAATAACTTACCAATTCTCCGGTAGAAAACTCTCCCGTGCCGTCTCCCTGAAACAGTGTAAAAAATAAAGGAGAAAGATAAATTCTTCAAAGCGGAGATAAAAATAAAAGTCTTCGAATATACACCCCTACTATAATAGAAGCAGATCGGGATTAGCACAATTTAGAATATACGAGTATCTAGGTACATTTATTTTTAAATTAGATCAATTTAGGCAAAAATTTTGTTTGTTTGTTGTTTTATTTATTTCACAACAATATTTTAAAGAGTTGGTCAATAAGTCCGTAGAAAAATATATAAAAATATATTATTTACGGTATTTTTTTATCGTTAACATAGCTTCTTTTAAACTCAATACGCTCAATTAACGTTTAAGTTTTTGAATCCATCCAAAAGGTAGGAAATTCGGGAAGTCGACAAAATAGGCATCTATTTTAGTGATGGGGGTAATGGGAAATAAAAAGTCGCTGAGGGACCAATCAAGTAAATACGATGGATAAAGTAATAATTCCAATTTTATTTCTTAATTTTCTATTTAAAATTGCGCAGGTAAGTACGCATGCATAGTTTTCCAACTAATTAACTAACTCTAACAATAAAACACTGAAAACTTTATTTTCAAAACTTCCACAAAATCTTATCACTACAGCTGTTTCGACAGAGTGCCTTTCCCAAGTGATCTATTTTTGGTATGCGTTTACACTTTATAATCTTTAATATAATAGGTTGAGGAGGGAAGAACTGTTTAGTCTCAAGTTGATTTCCATAGATTCTAATAAAGGTAGCTTAAGGCCTTTATTTTGAAAGTGAAGAAATTGAAATTCGTCATTAAAAGAATGATTATGATCTAGAAGGTGAAGTACGTATGTAGAATCTGTTTTTCTATTATTGAAAGCCCTTTTATGTTATGCTATTCGTTTATTAAAATTTCTACCAATTTGACCGATGTAAGTTTTTGAGCAGTCGCCATATTTAAGTTTGTATACACCACTGTGTCATTGCTTTTTATTTTAACTCTTGTTGTTTTTAATATATTTGCCTAAGTTGTTGTTTGTTCTAAAAGCTGGTGTTATTCCTTCTTTTTTATGTGTTTGGATATTTTTGTTGATATTTTGCCTGTATAATATGTAATCGAGCAGAAGGTACTGGTTTTTTCTCTGATGGTGGAAATAGTAATTTCAGGGCTTACTTGTGTAGTTTTTGATTTAAAATTTTATTAATTGTTTGTTCGTTGTATCCATTGTTTACTGCTATTTGCTTAATAATATTTAATTCTGTCTCAAAGTTGTCTTTTGACATCAAAATTTCGGTTAATCTATGTATCATGCTATGATAGGCTGCCAGTTTATGTTGTGTGGAATGGGATGATCAATTGTGTATAGTCGTGTCAGTATGGGTAGGTTTATAAAAAATGGAGAAGTCATGTTTGTATTTAAGTCTGGTAATTTTTAAATCTAAAAAATTTATGGATAGATTTTTTTCTGTTTCTATTGTAAATTCAATATGACTATGATGTGAAGTAATATACAATAAAAATTGGTCGAGTTGCCTGTTAGTTCCTGTAAAACATATACAGTACATATTATACCAGTACATCCGTATCTCACATATACGTATCTCCACCAATATAAAAACTGTTTGAATATGGGATGTTTTGAAATTTTTGTCTCTAGATAATCCATAAAAATATCTGTTAGCAATGGGCTTAGAGAATTGCCCATTATAAGTCCTGCACTGTTAATTGTATATATTTGATTATTATATTCAAAGTAGTCCTTGTTAATGCAAATTTCAAGAAGATATAAAATTTCAGATGTAATAATTGGATTTGTAGTATTATGGTCTAAGAGGTTTTTTACTAGAATAAAAGTTTCTCTAGGAGGAATACTAGAAAAAAGATTTTTTACGTCAAATGATACTTAGATGATGTACTGGTATGTTTTACAGATACTAACAGGCAACTTGACCAACTTTTATCGTATATTAATTCACTTTATAATCATATTGAACTTACAATAGAAACAAAACAAAATCAATCCATACATTTTTTAGATTTAAAAATTATCAGACAAACATGACTTCTCCATATTTCATAAACCTACCCATACTGACACGACTATACATAATTTATCATCCCATCCCACACAACATAAACTGGCAGCCTATCATAGTATGTTACATAGATTAACCAAAACTCCAATGTTAAAATACAACTTTGAGACGGAATTAAATATCATTAAGCAAATAGCAGTAAATAAGGAATACAACGAACAAACAATTAATACAATTTTATATCAAAAACTACACAAGTAAGCCCTGAAATTATTATTTCCACCATCGGAGAAAAAACCCAGTACTTTCTGCTCGATTACGTATTATACAGAAAAAATATCGACAAAAATAGTCAAACACATAAAAAAGAAAGGAATAACACCAGCTTTCAGAACAAACAACAACTTAAACAAATTTATTAAAAACAACAAGAGCCAAAATAAAAAGCACTTAAACAGTGGTGTATACAAATTTAAATGTAGCGACTGCCCAAAAACTTACATCGGACAAACTGGTAGAAATTTTAATAAACGAATAGCAGAACATAAACGGGATTTCAATAATAGAAAACAGATTCTACATACGCACTTCACCTTCTAAATCATACTCCTTCTTTATGACGAATTTAAAATTCTTCACATTAAAAATAAAGGCCTTAAGCTATCTTTGTTAGAATCTATGGAAATTAACAAATTAAAAAACACAGACATAATTCTGAATGACCGACTTGAGACAAACGGTTCTCCCCTCCTCAACCTATTTCTTTAAAGACTATAAAGCATACCAAATATAGATCACTTGAGAAAGGCACTCTTCCGAAACAGCTGTAGTGATAAGATTTTATTATAAATTTTGTGAAAGTTTTGAAAACAAATTTTCAGTATTTTATTGTTACATAAAATGAATTTCCATCAAGCAACGGTCGAATCCATCAATTAATTAACTAACTAATTAATAAAAATGATCCTTCGTTTCGAAAAATCCCGTAGCTATCACTTTGCCGGTCTATTTAACCGTCATCCGCTATCTTAAAGTCCATCGGGAATATACTAATGTATCTACGTTTCATTCACAGTTACATATTGACAGATATTAATCAGTATTCCGACGGAAAAACATTAAAACATTTCAGAGTCGACCACATGATTGTGCTTATTCTCTATTAGAAGAAAAGAGGGATAACTGTATTAACAGAAAATTGATTAAAAATATTATTATACATCCACAAGTTCTAAGGGTACATTTATGTTGGAGCTGCGATAAACGATAAGAGCAGCGATGAGAGCCGCGACCAGAGCAGCGCAAAACTCATTTCTATGATATGCAGTTTATAGTGGAGCTTTGACAACAGCGATGATCTCCGCTTCGTAGGTAACGTTTTATTAATTATTTTCTTTCAGCAAAAGCTTGCTATTGATTTTGTGAAATAAAAGCCAAATATTATGACGTTGGTGCACAAATTGATCAAACCTTTCGCGTCTGAATCGGAATCAATAGAACGATACAACTCTTATTTCGGTATCCCCACCTCGTCAGTCATTCAAGCTGATTAAATTCAAAGTCGAAGGGTTCTAATGTCTCAAAAATACTTCTCGCTTTCAAGAGGTACCATATGCTTTGACGGCTAGGTACGAAAACGATTTAATAAAATCGTTTTCTGTTTCTTTGGGCCATCGAAATGTCAAACGATTAGAAAATTTCAGAAAAATCTAACTAACTAACTAGTAATACATTGGTTAGTGATCAGTGTGGTAGTATCTATGGACTCGGAAGACTGAGACCTCGGAATCACTGAAAACGTGGAGATAATCGACGTGGTTTTATCGGAAAGACCGTTGAGTTTAATATTAATTTCTGTAATAGTATTATTCTTAACCCTTATGGTTTTTATTTATTTTCAACAATCACTAAAAAAATTCACTAAACCCTGGCTATGCATTTACTTATGTCAACATACGTTGATTTTTTCATAATTACGTTAAATCCAGACGTAGGTATAGAAAAATTACATCATAACAATAATATTGTCAGTTAATGTCAAATGTATTTTGTAGTATTGTGAAGCTAGAATTGTACGAAAAAGTAAAATAACCGAAACAGATCGAAGGGCATTAAGACGCATTATATTGAAGAATCGACGTGCAAATTATATGGAGTTAAGCGTTTTATGGAGTGACGTTATTGGAAGACACGTCTCTACTGGGTACTGGGTACATGTAATTTTTAGCAGATGTGGGTAGATGTTTTAAAAAAATAGTTGGGATATCGTCAGGTCCAGGACTTTTAGATCGTTCAGTGAGTTGTTTAGTTCTTGTAACGTAAGAGGAGCGTTTTATAGAATGTTATAGTTTTCTAAATAAAGGTTGGTATTAACGATTTCAAGAGGAGAGGTGACATTTTGATTACCTATTTTGAGACTAGCTATTGGGGATGACTCCTTTATACCAGAAATTTGACGTATTTTCTTCCATACTTCTCTTACAGGAGTGGAGCTGTTAATGCTAGAGACATATTGGGCCCAACTGGATTTCTTTGTTTGATTTACTAAACGTTGTGCTCTAGCCTTCATTTTTTTGTAGTTAATTTTATTTTCGAGTGTTTTATGCTTCTTAAAGCTATTAAATTAAATTAAATTAAATTAAATTATTAAATTAAATCTAGGCCACACTTCAGCCCTCGAAAACACTGAATACAACCCTGAACCTGACATTCTGCTGTCCGAGATTGAAGAAGCTGTAACTCACCTCAAGAAGAATAAATCCCCTGGCTGCGATGATATCACGGGAGAGCTCCTTCAGAACATGGGAGACAAAGGATGTTACATAATGTGGAAACTTTCTAATAAAATTTGGAGATGCGGAAAGTGGCCCAGAGAATGGCGCACATCATTGTGCATACCAATCCATAAAAAAGGAACAACTACAAAGTGTAGTAATTATCGTACCATCTCACTGATTTCCCATCCAAGCAAAATATTACTAAGAATCATTAAACGCCGTTTGCAACAGTACTTAGACAACCAAATTCCCCAAGAACAAGCAGGCTTTGTCAAAGGGAAGGGTACGAGAGAGCAAATCCTTAATATGCGGCAGCTCATAGAAAAGGCCCGCGAATTTAAAATTCCAATAATAATCTGTTTTCTAGACTACCAAAAGGCATTTGATTGTGTAAAGTGGGAAGTTCTCTGGACAGTTCTTCATGAGATGGGAGTTCCAGATCATTTGGCAATATTAATTAAAAACTTATACGAAGATAACTCAGTTAAAATAAGAATTGAAAACCAGCAATCTGATACCTTCAAAACCAGCAGAGGTGTACGACAAGGCTGCATACTATCTCCAGACCTGTTCAATTTATATGGAGAATACATAATGAGGAACGCACTCGATGGATGGAGAGGCGGCATCTCCATTGCAGGGAAAAAGATCTCAAACTTAAGATTCGCAGACGATACAACACTGATAGCAACATCTGAAGAGGAGATGTCGAGACTGATAAAGAGAGTAGAAACCGAAAGCAACAAGTGTGGGCTCAAGATTAATAATCAGAAAACAAAAATCATGATTGTGGACCACGCGAATATCCTCCAAACAACAGGCGCCCTAAATCAATTCGAGAAAGTAGACGAGTTCACGTATCTAGGATCTTCCTTAAGCAATGCAGCCTCCTGCCATACGGAAATTCGCAGAAGAATAGGAATGGCCAAGAACGCGATGAGTCGACTGTCAAAAATATGGAAGGACCGCTCTTTGTCCAAAAAACTCAAAATGAGACTGGTACGGACACTCGTTTTTTCAATCTTTAGTTACGGTGCCGAAACATGGACAATAAAATCAGAGGATAGGAAAAGGATTGACGCATTCGAAATGTGGTGCTGGAGACGAATGCTACGCGTCTCGTGGACGGAGCACAGATCCAATCAGTCGATTCTCGAAGAGCTAAACATTCAGACCAGACTCTCCTCTCAGTGTCTTGCAAATGTTTTAAAGTTTTTTGGCCACATTGCGAGAAGAGACAATGACAACTTAGAAAGACTAATTGTGTGCGGAAACGTAGAAGGACGTAGAGGCCGAGGACGCTCACCTATCCGATGGTCAGATCAAGTACAGAAAGCCACTGGAGAGACGTTTTCCGAGTCCATGAGAGCAGCCCAAAATCGCAAGAGATGGAGAGAATTGACAGCCCGCATTGTAGGGAATCACGATCCTCAGCAATGAGGAAACGACAAGAGAGAGAGAAAGCTATTAAAAGCTGTTTTGCTGGCACGTACTGCTTCGTTACACTCCGAATTCTATCAAGGCACAGGAATATGATTTTTAATGGGCTTTGTTTTGCCGATGAAGAGCTCCGCACTCTGCAAGATGACACTATTAAAAGTACCTAAAGAATCGTTTATATTATCATTCAGTATGAGACTCTCCAAAGCCTTATCTATATGATTTTCATAATTGATCCACTTAGCCGAATTTATATTCAATTTGGACAAGAGGGATATTGGGCAAGGCTGATCTGAGAGATTCTGAATGGTAATAAGGTGATAGTCGCTACCATAAGTATACTCGAGAATAGTCCAAGAGAGACGCGGAGCAAGAGCTGGCTCACAGAAGCTCAAATCTATCACGGAGGATTCTCTAGTGCAGATGTTAATATCTTGTAGGTGACCCATCATTTAGGTAATTTAATTGAAGATCCTGCATTACCTTTTCTAGAAGTTTTCCTCTGTGATCAGTACGCTTAGAGCCCCAAATAAAGTTATGACCGTTAAAATCATCTACAATGATTCGAGGAGAGGGTATCTATTCGATAAGGCTTTTTCAATCTTCATATGTAGCTGAGGAACTAGATTGAAGGTAAATGTTACATATAAAAATTTGAACGAGAGCGGTGATCTCTATAACTATAGCTTCAATGTTACTATTGACAGGAAAAGCATTTGCAACCAAAGATTTTTTGACCAGTATCATAACACCACCTGAATGGAAATTATTGTCAGGTAGTCTTCTAGCTTCTATCTTTCTAAAAATGTTGAAATATTTGGAATTATAGGTTTTTTGGGGTTTAAATTTGTTTCTTTGAGACATATTATTTCGGTAGAGAATTCGGAAATAAGTTTTTGTAAGGTTGGAAGTCGATGGAAAAATTCATCTTTATTCCATTGCAGTAGTTTAGTGAATTATATTATATAAGAAAAATATGAATTTACGGGTTAACCTGAGATGACTATCGGAGTGTCGGAGTATTTTATTTCTATAGACGGTGATGGTTGATCTATCTTTTAATTGTGGATGAACTTTAGTTAGCATATAAACTAATCCCAGAAGGTTAGATGTAAACTCTTGAATTATGTTAGAAGGATCTTGCACGCCGATAGCGTTGCTTAGAAGTAGATTTAATTGGTCAAACTTGAGGACAAATGTGGGTAAATGATTTTGGATAAGATCTTTGGTAGGCTCAAGGTCATATGATTTTATTGATTTTATGCACGTACCTATGCTTTTCGTTACTTTTAACTTTCTTGACTCTAGGTTTGGATGTGGATACAGCAAATGATTTTTCTGTATGAGTTGTTTCTGGAGACGTAAAAACATCATTGATACTACGTTTCAGCTGAAGATCGATATTGATTACTTTGCAGTTTTCCATGGTGTTAACTTCTTCTTGACTATCAGCAATGCTCAGATTATTTGCTAATTTTTCTTGGACGGAAATTTGTTCGTTTGATATGGACGTTGCAGCAGGTTGAGGCATGATGTCAGGGGAGGAAGGAGTAGTAGATTGACTGTTATTAGAATCAATTAAATTTGTTGTTGATTCTATTTTATCTGGATAGTTGAAATTCTGTAATGAAGTTTGCTCGTTATGTGGTAGGAGTGGGCATATTACAGCTAAGTGACCTGATTGTTTACAAGAAAAAAAATTAAGGTTGTCGGTTGCTAAGAAAGTTCTGTATGATGTATTGTCGAAATTTATTATGAAAGAAGCTGGTAATGTTGCATTGTTTTCTAAAGGAGTAATATACGTTTGTCGGCGAAAACTGAGAATATGACTAAATTCTGGGCGAGACGCGTTTATTTTAAAGAATATTATAGATTTAGACCTAGCTTTATTAGCTCTGCTTCTAAAATAGAATGTGGTATGCTGGGGCATATATTGGATAAAACAATTTTTTGACTTAGAGTGATTAATTTGCGGGTAGTGAGAATTTGATTGTGACTGTAATGAACATAGTTTTAGAAGTTATCTACTAGTTCTTTTGAGGATACGTAAATGCATACTCTATTTTGCGAAATCCGTGAGGCGAAAATAATATCTTTAGGATTTACAATACTGCCCAATGGTATTAGGTAATCTTCAATTTTTACGTCTTCAATGGAAATAAATAAGATGGCTTGCTGTTTATTCGGAAATTTGGATGATGTTTGATTTTTTGTTGTAATTGATGCGTATGATTGGGAATTGTATTGAGTTGAATTACTAGATATCGGAAAGTTCAGAGTAGGGTTAGGGACATGGTCCCTGGATTTTTGTTATCCATTATTTGAACGCCACATTAATAATTTAAATTGTGGGCAAGTGCGGTCCTGTTCACCTCACGACTTGTTTTGATATTTCAACTTATCAACTTCGAAAAATGATTGGTGTTTTTCGATTGACAATTATTAATGCTTAAATATATGTAAACAAACTTTGTTTACTTGCTGGTTTTTGCAGATTTTAGATGAATTTGATTATAACACTGTTTTTGTTTAATGAAAACTAATTAACTAAATGCTGATTGTGTTTTACTTTTTTAAAATCGATAGCTATGAAACTCGTATTAAATACGTCTATTCACCTTGCTTCGATGCGAACTCGGTGTTATTTTTATTTTATTCAAACCTACTTCGAATCTTGAGTCTTAGATAATAATTATGTTTTTTTTCATTCTTATTTCCTACCTATTGTTTAGGGCTGATACCAATATTGATTAATTATTTGTACGATATAAAAAAATGTTTTTTTAACATATTTTATATCGATAAATATAACTGTTGTAAAACCGTTCAGAATTAGTCTTGAAGATTTGATTAAAAAAATACCAAAAGATTCATTTAGTGCTCAATCCGTCTCTGCAGGGGCTGAAAGCCCCGTCTGGTACATTTGTCCTAAAATCTTGTATAGCTGATTCTTATATTTACCTGTCGCCTTCTCAGTTTTTTGTACTTCTGCAGCCGAGCCGGGACGATCCGAAAAAAGAAAGAAAAACAAAGTAAGAGCGTTAGAAAACATCTCGAGGAAATGCAGGAAAAAATCCCATAAATGTCGAGTATAACAAGAACGTATCCGAGATGATCGAAGGGTTTAAAGGGATGTTGAAAAATATTTGGAAAATATTACAAAACATTAAATTTTTTTATAAAGTGAATATAGGCTTAAAAGTTGTAAAAAATATGACAATAACAATATATTTTAATTTGCACTCTTTGTAAACATAAGATAGGCTTTTGACAAAGAAAAACATTACCTATCTCACATTACCTCTTACTATAAAAGTAGCAACCCTGATAATGTTCTTTTTTCATTTTTTATTCACATCTGACTAAACTTATTAGTTCGGTATTTCAACCATGTTAGTAATGTTGTTCATTATCTACATCTGTGGTAGTCAATTACTAGATTGTTCATGTAGTATTGCAACATATTATGGTAGACCCACATTTCTAAGCTAAGCTAATAATATCATAATCTGCGAATCGGATTTTTTTATGGTCCATGTTTCTAACGCGTACGTGACGATATGAAAGATTAACGTTCGAACAAGGCGTAGTTTTGTAATGTCAGTATTCCTCCATAGTTTTTATTAGTTTGACTGTTGCCGATCTGACGGATCTCGCCTTCGCACCCTCCGCTCTTCTTACTCTGCCATTTTACCTATCTCTGTTATGTTTTTATATTTACATCGATGATTATTACTTATGTTCTTTAATATTTATTTTAAAATCATATTTCGTACTCACAGTGCCCAATTTATTCATAATTTGTTCCAGTTCTTCTACTGAAGATGCCAATATATCCGTGTCATCAGTATATCAAAGGTTTTTTACCTTTCGTCTTCCTGTTGTTGCTCCGCCTTGCAATTTTTCAAAAACTTGGCGCATAATATGTTCACTATGTACATTCAATAGAATGGGGATATTATACATCCCTGTCGAACTCAAGATTTTACTTTCTTGAGTTTTTCGAATGCACGTTATTAATAGTACCGCCATCGTATAAATATACAATATTATATTATATGTATTGTATTTATATACAATTTTTGTAATAAATAAATTGGATGTTCTGGCGAATCCATTTACCTAAGTATGTGCCACATTTTGTCACATTTTCCAAAGGACGAATATTCAACAAAGCACAAAAATGTTTATATATTGAATTTTTCTATAATTTAATCAATATTAAGAATGGATTCTTTTGTGCTCCTACCTGGTATGAATCCACATTTATATTAGGTAATCTTTAGTAACAGTATCGATTTTAGTCTTTCATCGATGATGGTGAGGAGCACTTTGGTAGCATGGGATATTAACACTACTGTAAGGTAATTGTTGCAATCAGTCGTTGAAACTTTTTTATGCATGGGAAGAAAAGTGAGATTACCCCAGTTATTTGACCACTTTCCAGTGTTTTAATGTCATTGCAAATTTCTTAGTTCAGTCCTTACCTCTTCTATTTCTTTTGAGTGTCTCAGGTGATATTCTATCTTCCCCTTCTGCTTTTTATGAATTTTAGCGTTTTTGTTGCTGCCTTAGTTTCTAATTATAGTGTTTGTATTGAAAAAGATTGTAAGATTTGTACACACTTCTAAAAATAGTGTAAAATTATTTATTAATTAAGCTTAGTATACTTTCGACATAATAAATGTCATCATCAGAGCTATCCTAAAATAACGTTAAGTTAAGTAAATTTTTTATAAAATACGATGACAGAAAAAAACTTACGTCAATTAGGCAATAAATACTTCATAGAAGGAAAATTGTGGACAAACAACATATTAAAAACAAAGATCGGGCTCTCTAGGCCACAGATCTTGGGTCTAACCCTTATACATATGTATAATTCACATCAAATAGTTAAAATAGAAAACATGGCTACCACATACAGCGACGACAACAGCTGTTTTTGACTTATATTTTTTGAAGTAAGATGAAGGCGGAAGCTCGAATATACGGAAATAAATCCGAGAGCGACCTCTGTATTTAAAATTATTAATTGAAAAAATTGAAAATGTCTAAACTGACGTCTGAAGGTTATTGATTATTACTTTTAGTTACTATAGAATTATGAATTTAAATATTTTAAATTGATAAGTCAACGTGAAAATTTAAAATATAAATTTATCAAAAATATCAAAAAACAAAACTTTTAAAGTTTGACCAAGTAGAAGAAAGTAGATGAAAACGAACCAAGGAGAAGTATCATTTGCCAAGTTAAGAGTTCAATAGCTATTATTGATTATCAATATTATTAATAAAATAAATAAAGCAAGAAGAAAAATCTCAAACATTTTTTACTTATATGAAATCAATGAAAGAAAATTCAAGAAATTTTTTTATAAATAAAGGTCAAAGCTTGATCAATCGATGATTGATTGTATACTAAATGTATTATTAAAGAAACTTCTTAAAGATTGGATCAAACTTACAATTTAAGTTAATTTGAGTGTTGACAGAGTTCTGAGGATTCCTTTTCATTTCTCTACTGATTTCTAGATCTTCTAGTAAATTCATTTTTGTATAATTATTTCGTATACTGTGTAGGATCTTGCTATCTCTTTGAGGACTAAAGCCATGCTTTGAAGCATGTATATGATTCCCAAAACTAGATTTATCAATCTTAGACAGATGTTCTTTAATCCATATATCCAAAGGTCGCATTGTTCTACCTACATAGGTCACCGTTATAAATACCACTTTTAGACGTTTTGTCTATAATAAGATATATATATAATAAGATGTAGTATAAAACTTTTTGAATATTGGTTCAGATATGTGGATGATGTGTTGGCTATCATAGATGGAAATTCCTCAGATGCAGACAATCTCCTAGTTTCATTTAACAACTTACATCCAGCTATAACATTCACCTTATAAACAGAATCCAGCAATTCTATTAATTTTCTAGACTTAACACTAACTAGAATAGATAACAAATTAAATTTTTCAGTCTTTAGAAAACCAACTCAGACTGACCATACCATCCCTAGATCTTCTAATCATCCTTTTCAACAGAAAATGGCCTCCTTTTATTGCTATATCCATCGTTTACTTAGCTTACCTCTGTCAGATTCAAATTTTAAATCAGAATTAGAAATTATTAAACAACTTGCTTATAGTAACGGTTATACCCTTACTTTGGTTAATAAACTACTCAACAAATTAAGGACTTTACGTAAACTTAACGTTATTTTAGGATAGCTCAGATTATGACATTTATTATGTCGAAAGTATACTAAGCTTAATTAATAAATTATTTTACACACTATCAATTTTATTGAAAACATACAGAACTTGCTTACCAGTTAGATCTACATATATAGTGTTTGTGGTTATTTTTCATAATTTCTTTTTTCTGTATTTTTGTCTGGGTTGTTGTTAGAGATCAGTATTTTACAATATTGTTCCCACATCGCTGCGATACCTTCTGTGTTTGTTATGGTATTTCCACTCCACTTCTACTTCCACTTTAATGATGTGTGTCTGCGGTTTGAATTCTCTTGCTAGATATTTGATGTGCCGTTTCAGTCATCCAATGTTTTTCTATCTATTCTTTCTTTGGGATTTGTCTTGTTGATGGTTTCAGTGATCCACTTATTTGCGTGTTCCCACGTTTCGTCAGGATCGCCATTAGTCACTTTTCCAAAAAAAAATTTGAGTGTTTTGGAATCAATGTTTGTGTTTTATTTTAAATTTTCTCGTTTTGTAGCTTAATGCTGATTTCTGCTTGTAGTATTTTGTGGTCGGAACCATAGTCTGTAGTTGGTTTTGCCCTCTTCATATGGAGCGTCTCCATCGGTTAGTGACAAGAATCTAATTTATTTGGTTTTTATTATCGTCTTCTAGGTGAAGTCCATGTTAAAAATCTTTGCGGAAGATGTTTAAACATCGTGTTTATTATACTAAGATCTAGATAGAGAGCTAGAAGAGCTGTTCACCTTTTTCATTTTGCTCCCCTAAGCCATGTTTCGTGAAGGTACACCAGTATATGTGGCAAGATAATATCAAAACAATTAATTCATTTTTGTCAGGTTTTTACTCCTTAATTATTTCTGTATATATTAAGCAGAATAGGAAACAAAGTACATCTACGTCGAAGACAAATTCTACTATACATTAAGTTCAGAATACCAAAAACTACTATATTTGAACTCATCTTCCTGTTTGTGTTAATGTAAATATTATGTATGTAAAATGTAATAAATGTAAAAACAATAATTGTTATTTTTACAATAAAACTGTGGAGTAGAGTAGCCAAAAGATCTACTCGAAATCCCTTCAATACCGACCTCTGATACGTCCTTGAATTCAAATACAAATTCGATTAGGGTAAAAGCCTGAAAGTCAAAGTTTATATTCTCAGTTTCGTGTTGAGTAATATAAGCTCTCAGCCGTTCCAGCCTTTCTAAAATGTTTTGTAATTAGATATTGAAAGCTCTAAACGACATTTCGGATAATCTCTATATTTATTCTTGATTTTCCATGTCTTGCAAGCAAACACCTATCGAAATGTATCAGAAATTTAACAGTTGTTAAAGAAAATGGAATTTTTTAACCAGAAAATGAAATAGTGATTATCAAAAAAGTATTAAAAGATTTTTTTATAATAAATATGAAGAATTGCTCAATTGCAGTTTAACTCCGATTCTCGAAATAACATCGTGTAGTTAAGGATGCGTCAATTTGACTGGGAAATAATTGATATCTCTTTAGCAGTGTAAGTTTTGACCCCTTTATATGCTGGCAGATATAAGTGAGAGCCATGGGAGCTGACAGTTGAGATGTTACACATCATATCTTCAGGTTTAGTCTTCTCGTCAGAGATTGGAGATCAGTAAGGCGATTTAATTTTTTGTAGAGTTGATATAAAGTAACTGCTCTAAATTAAGCCTTCTATTACCTTTTATTTTGCTTTCGAATCTGTTTGTTAGTACTTAATAAAAAACAAAATTAACAATTTGGTTTTTGGATACAAATGATTGAATGTCTACACTTTACAAGCCATTTATATATACATATATATATATATATATATATATATATATATATATATATATATATATATATATATATTACAGGTTCCAATTTGTAAATAGAATACATCTTGGAGACGGCTATCGCCGTATTCCCGTCCTCCTCCGCCAATCCTCTCGGTCCAAGGCATGCTCCTCCTCTAAACCTCTCGATTCCATTGCTCTTCTAATACCTTCATTCCATGAGCTTCGAGGTCTACCCCTTTTTCTTCTACCAGGGGGCTTCCATCTGTAAAGTTTTTGGGGCCAACGTTCGTCAGGCATTCTTAACAGGTGTCCAAACCATTTTAAACCTCTTCTTTCTATTCTGTCTATGACCGTATCTGTAGCATTCATCTGATTTCTTATAGATTCGTTGGTTTTCCTTTCCAGCCTTGATGTTCTAGCACTTCTTCTAGCCATTTAACAAGTCTTATCTAACTCAGAAGTTTGAGAGAAGAGCAGAAAACGCGTTCCCACACGTAGCAGAAATTGTTCAGAAACGATCAGCAAAGTAAAGAATTGAAGAACAAAAGTGTATGAAAAATTAAGTACAAAATTCGTTAAACTATGGGAACTAAATCAAATTTTCCAAGAGATAATAGGATACAAAGTCTCCCACAGATAGAAGCACGGCAGACCTAAATAACAACTGCTTGGAAATTAATAAATACTAGTATGGTAACGTAAATAGCTCTGAATAACCTGAACCCTGCTCTTATTCCAGTAGCGTTCATTCTCATAACTCTCAAAGAAAATTGCTAACGCCACAAAAAAAATTACTAACATAACACCTTAAAATAAGGGCAACCAGTGATTTAAACTTGCAGCAGAGAAAACCGAAGCCATCATTCTGAAGGGGAAAAGGAACAGGCAAAGTATTGAATTACAATGTGCGGGAGTATGTCTAACACCCAAGAAACAAGTAAAGTACTTAGGAGTGACATTGCAACAGGATAGAAAATGGTGCGCCTGCGTTGAGGAGGGTGAGGCCCAACATTGTGGGACCCAAATCCGAAAGGAGGAGGGTCTTACACGGTGTTGTACAGTCGATTGTCCTCTACGCAGCACCAGTCTGCAGTCAGGCGGTAGAGATAACGGCCTATAGGAGGTTCATGAGACAAGTGGACAGAACAAGTCTGTTGCGAGTGGCATGCGCCTACAGGACTGTGTCTGCGGCAGCCTTGTGGATCATCACTGGATGTGTTCCGTTGCATGTTTTAGTGGTGGAAAGAAAAGAGCTCTATGAGAGAAGAGGCCCAAACCTTACTGTGGCCGAGAGAAGACAGGAAAGGAAACGGTGAATTGAAAGATGGCAAGAAGAATGGAACAACACGGAGGATGTGGCACAGTGATGAAGAAAAAAGAAGAGGAAGAAAGACAGCTGGACCAACGGCAAAGGTAAGAGTGAAAGATGCTGGAAGTTGAAGCTAGAAAAGTGGGTCAGACTGTATGAGTTAGAATGCGTGAGTCAGACTGTGAGGAAGGAGAAAATGCCCGTCTGGGAATGATGCCGTACTAGGAGCGATAAGGGTCTTCTACGCGCTACCTGGAACGAGACAAGGAGCCTCCTTGCTGATTATTGGAGTGTAGATGTGAATGAATGGAGAATGAAGGAATGAAGAAAGTGCTTCGGAAGTGATGCCGGCCTTACAGCGGCCATTCCGCTTCCGGATCGCTGGATCACAGAGGAGGGTCTGGTTTAGAAGGTAGGCGTTGGGCGTAGACTCGGCGACGAGAGGGCATTTTAAAGTACCTCGAGAACTATCGCCGGGAGTACGAAGGACGAATCCTGCACAAAGGTCAGTCAGGCGGCGTCCTGGACTGAGATGTCTTTTGAAGATTTCAGACCCCTCTCTATAAAGACGAAAAAAAAAGTATCTGCTAATACCCATGCGGTTATTTTTAAAAAGAGAAGGGATAACCCAGAAGATCAACTACTAGCATAAGACAGACTCATCGAATGGAAAATCCAAAAAGCAAAATACTTAGGAGTCATATTGAATAAAGGCCTAATGTCACACTCATTTCACCTACAATTGCATACGCGTCGCTGGCATGAGAATACACGTGGAACATAAACAGTAAAAAAATACAAGCAGCCCACAACAAATGCTTGAGAAAAATAGCGAAAATTCTCAGATGTGTAGCTGAACGCTTTTTGTTCAGAGATCTAAAGCAAGTAAGAGTACTGAAGAGATGATGGAAGAAAAAGCCAGAGAAAAATTCGCTAAACTTGAAAATTACCCAAACCATATCCTACAGGAATCAATGGGGTATAATGTTTTGCATAGATGGAAACATAAGATCAAAGCAACAAATAATAGTAAATGATTTAAAAAATAATAAGATGGCTAAATGTAATTTTTAAGGGATTTGCATGCCTCACAGGGTGGGTTCGATTCTATTGCTTGCTTGCTTGATCTCTCATTATATGCCCCAGTATTTTACGTTTTTTCTTTATTATTATTTTTGTAAGTCGTATTGTCACATTGTCCTTCTTTGTTAAATATTATTTCTGAGTCGAAGTTTTTTTTATAGCTGTATTGCCAGATTCCAGTAAGAGCCTAAGAAGGTATCCATTGAATTCTGACAGGCAACAGTGGGGGAAATCACCTTTTTGGACATCTACGCCACGGAACAAGACACCCTGGCATCTTTCGGCCGAGTAGGATACTAGGGCAGAAGACCCCAATGTAGTGCCGGATTAACTGTGTTCCGGCTAAAACCTTAACCACCGTTCCAGAGAGGTGGTCTTGCCACTCAATAAACAACTAAAATAAAAAACTAAAAATCTATAAACAACCATACCTAATACCGTAAATCAGAAAATGTTTCAGACGTTAGGCCATAAACTAATAAAAAAAATTAACCATAAATTTTAGATCCTTGGCTCAATTTCCTCCTCTGTCCTCCTGCTCCTTTTTCCTCATCACTACAGAAATCAGAGAATGTACTTCCCTCCATTCTTTTTCTCCTCTCAACATGATGTTTACAATGTTTCTTTCATCCAGCCCGAAACTGTGCTATTTTTAGATAAAACCAGGAGTTGTGTAAAATCAGATAACCGACAAATTCGTATACTTAGAGGTCGAAAGAGACAAGCAATTGCTAGATCCGTTCACAGATATAAAGGAGGTCCTCTCATATTTTAAGGAGGCATTATGATGGGTGAAAAACTTCTTTAATTTCCATTTAACTAACTTTTAATAGCTCGCTGGTATGTTGATTTCGTTCTTGAACCTGTTGTTAGGCTCTGAAGAGGTATATTTTATTATTAGTTCTAAATGGAGCCCTTACGAGCGTCTTTGATAGGCAGGACTCAAGTCAGGATAAAGGGAGAGGGACACTTGGTAAAGCCAGCAACCTCAGCCAAAAGGAGACGATTTTCTCAGTAAACCAACAAATCACCACTGATTAAGATATCTACTAAGCTGACGACATAAGCGAGAACTATGAAAATTATTAGGAATAATAAAGGATGAAAATGTTTCGGGTTCTACAAAATTTATTTAAAACAAAATGGTGAACAAGTAATGGAGTATAGATACTTTCGAATTAATTTATCAAGTGATAACAGTATAGAGGAAGAAGTTGGAGAATCAATGACAAAAGCAAGTAGAACAGCAGGATGTCTTATGATCCAATATTTAGAAACAAAATCTAAACTCGAATTTGACAACGTCAAGAAGAAGTTTCTGGTTTCTGAGTGTGCGCGAGGACAGAAAATACAATTTTAAAACTTCTCAACATACGATAAGAATGTACACACTACAAAATTTGTAAGGTTATTTTTTACTTAGTTATTATTAAAACAATACAGTTTTGAGTTCAATAGTTTTCAATTTCCAACCATAAACAAATTGGTCCTTCTAATCGGATATCACTTGTGCCAAAAATTAAGTGATATTAAACAATATACTATCAAGTGAACTCATGAAGCCGGCAGCCATAACGCTGAGAAATTCCAAAACAAAACCATCTAGCGATCCAGAGGAGAAATTGTTGACAAAATCTTCGTTGCTTTTAAACGATATTTTGTTGCACGATACAGTTTGGAAAAAAAATGGAATAGTGACCTAATGAGAAATGATAGAAAATATAATAGATACAATAGCCCGAGATAAGTTATAAATCGTAAGAAGGAGCATAGGCCTAGAAACAGACAAAATGACAATATTCCAATAGAAGAAGAGACAATGTTAAAGGAAATCAGGCAGTATGTCAAGATAAAAGTAACAGTAGAAGAAAAAGGACACTTAAAATTAAATCTTTGTATTTTACATTTATTTGTTCTGGCGTATTCTCAATTAATTACCAAATTTCACTAGCCATTCAAGTCTGTGTGGTTGTCCATCAACCGTTTGATTTTATTACCAACAATAAATATTTATTTTTCTCATTCTATTCTTCTATATTAGTTAGAACTTATATTGTCATTGTGCCAGATTTTTAAGAGTTTATTTTAATTTCTTGGATGGAACTTTTAAGATCGACTTTAAAATTATACTCAAGGGATTGTGATACTATTTGATGTCTACTTCTGGGTATATTTTTCTATAACCGACATTCATTAAAATAAAATCCATCTGATTTTTTAAAACGTTGTCTCTTTTATCTGCTGAAGGTTTCGGGATCCACAGCCTATAAATGATAATTGTGAATAACGTAGTTGCCACAATAAACAGAGGGTATGCTGACTATATCAGCACTAACACTGTAGGTTTAGAGGTATCAAATTTTCCCATATCAAACCGACACAATTTTGTAATTTATAATAAACTTACCGAGTCTCCTTTTTCTCCTTTCTCTCCCTTCTGGCCAGGATAACCAGGAGGTCCTGGCAATCCTGGAGGTCCCATAAGCCCGGGCGGCCCAATATCACCGTAGTCTCCTTTTTCTCCTTTCTCTCCTGTAGATCCCTAATAAAATACAACAATTGCATTATCTATTTAATAATTTAAATATAATATAAGTACCGGAAGACCTGGAGGTCCCTGAAGTCCTGGTTCTCCGTTAAGACCAGAAATTCCTGGAGGCCCCATTGCTCCGGAATCGCCTTTAGCCCCTTAAAAATAGAAAAGCGATGATCAAGAGTAAAAGTAAGTGTATTAAGTAGATACAATAAAAAAACAAAAGGGGATTCGAGGCAATAATGGACAACCAGTACCAACCGATTAAAACGATATATTTTATAAGAAAAAATAAAATAAACCGCTTCTGTCTAAAATTTAAAGCAGTCTGTTACGAACGTAATTGTTATAAAGATAACGATTTACTAAGAAACAATAATCTTTGGTCTGCTAATCACTTTACCTGAATTGTTATATTTCAAACATAGCCTGTGGTAGATCTAGTTGCGTGTACTTATTGTAGTGAAAATTCTTTAATTAACGACATCACATAGGTAGATACTTAAAAATGTGGCTCCTTCAGAGAACAAAATTCCGAGCATAAAGTTAAAGGAAAAAAAGAAGAAGATTCTTATCAATTAAAAGATTTACAGGGCGACTATGTGGAACGTAAGCGAATTCTCTAACGATGCCAAAGGTATAGTGAAAAATATGTATGAAGGACTGTGCTCTAAAATTTTTAATAAAAGTGACAAAATTAACTGTAAATACCATTATAGGAGGGACATCTACATCAAGAAAAAAGAGAAAAGATAGTGACAAGTTCTGAAAAATAGAAAGCCACTTGATTCAACCTATGAGTACAACAATATACAAAATATATACAGCCAACATTTTTCCCCCGATTGAAACACTTTGACAAGAACTAATTAGAAAATATCGTTTCTTATTCGGCAACAACGTTTTGCCTTTTTCTTAAAGCTAATAATTTGAAGGATAGAATTATAGATAAACGTCAGATACTCATGGAAAGCGGCAGAATAACTTCGTTGCGAAAAGAGTATATTCGAAATATAATGGAGTATAGAAAAATGAAACGAAACATTGTATATTTGGATGAAACATAGTACGATACGCATGACATCTTAAAAAAAGGCTGGATTCTTCTTCTTCAAGTTCCACTCCTATCGGAGATTGGAAATCATTCTGGCAATTATAATTTTATTGGTTACTCGCCTGAATAGTTCAATTGAACTGCATCCAAACCACTCACGGAGATTGCGTAGCCACGAGATTTTACGTCTTCCTACGCTTCTTCTACCTTTGATTTTACCCTGCATTATATTCCTTAGTAGTTCGTACTTTTCACCTCTCATGATGTGCCCCAAGTATTCCAATTTCCTGATCTTTATGGAATTTAAAACTTCGCATTGTTTTCCTAGTTGTTCGAGAACTTGTTCGTTTGTTTTGCGATCCATCCATGATATTTTCAAAATGCGTCGGTAACACCACATTTCGAATGCTTCTAGGTTTTTAATGTTGGATTTTTTAAGTGTCCAAGCTTCAACTCCATACAAAAGGGTAGAGAAAATATAACATCGAAGCATTCTTATCCGGAGCGATATATTGATATCGCGATTACAAAAAAGTTTTCTCATTCTATTAAAAGTTGACCGCGCAATTTCAATGCGGCATCTTATTTCTTTTGTCTGATCAGTATCTTCTGTGATCCATGCTCCAAGGTATTTGTACGAAGATATAATATCTTCGTACAAAAGGCTGGATAAACAACAATAAAAAATCTTTAGTTGCATTACCATCATATAAAGGTAAAATTATGATTATTTTACACTGTGGTGTAACGATATGCACTATTGATATCTGACAAAAAAATTAAAGATGCGTCATTGGACTACCACGATGATATGGACAGTGTTCTTTTTGAGTTTTGGTTTGTAAAAACTCAAAAAAACCATTCGAAAATCCATTGCTATAGTAATTTAAAAAATGCATAATTTTACTTGGAAAAAATCCCAGATACAACAATTTATATATGAGAAAGATTCAAGATTTAGATTTGAAAAAGCAGTTATTAGAGGTTATTCAAAGTAAGCAATTTTGAAAGAAATATTTTGTTGATGACTGTGCTCTCAATAATGGACATACCGTGCTTAGACTACCTCCTTATTTTTGTATATTAAATCCAATAGAATATGGGCACAAGTAAAAGAAAATATAGGAAGAAAAAATATCGCTTCTAAATTTTCATCACCTTATCTCCAATTAATTACAAAAGAAGTAAAAAAACGTTACAGCGACAAGTTGGAAAACTGTCATTAAAAACCTAATGGGGATAGAAAAGGAATAGGCAAAATATGGCAAAATGGCCAACTGAACTAATTTAATTTTAACTGTAACCAATACTAGTGATGATAGCGATTTATAATGTGTGACAGTGATGCTGAATAGAGTTTCTGAAACGACAATTCTGTTGTAACTTTAAATGTAAACTAAATATTTATTGTGAAAAATTGTATATTTAAATATTTAATTTAACAGTGGCAGATACGCTGCCCTCTGCCTGATTCTTCTTCAGTGCTTTATCCGGTCCGGATGTTTTCGAACATCAAAGCTATCATGGTTTTGTTGACTGCTTTGCGAAACAGCTCCGCGGAGGTCATCCAAACCATTATTGGAGGTTTTTTAACCACGAGATACGACGGCATCCCGGTCCTCTCCTGTCAAATACTTTACCCGCATAACGAGTTGAAGAATTCGATATTTTTCTTCGTTTCGCATCACGTGTCCGAGGTACTAAAGCTTACGTTGTTTCAATAAATTAAGCACTTCTTTTTCTTTTCTCATGCGCTGTAGAACCTCAACTTTGGTGACATGGTCCACATACGATATTTTTAGTATCCTTCTGTAGATCTACATCTCAAAGGCTTCAATCCGGTTTTCTGTGGCTTGCCTCAGTATCCAGGCTTCAACTCCATATAGTAACACTGGAAGAATGTATCACCTCACTATCCGCATCTTGGTTTCCAAACTGAGATCACTGCAGGTTAGCAAGGATCTCAACTTGATAAATGTAGACCGTGCCATTTCAATTCTGGATCTAATCTCTTGAGCGTAGTCCCATTGTGAGTTGAGGGTAGTTCCGAGGTAAGTGAATCTGTCGAGTCTCCGGATCTCTTCACTATCTGCTATTAGTGCTCCGGGATCTAAATTTGCACGGTTGACAACCAGGAATTTAGGTTTCTTAATGTTAAGGTAAAGTCCGTATGTTCGCTCACAGTTCTCACTCGATCTAGTAAGGCTTGTAGATCATTTAGGCTGGTTGCTAGTAACACAGTGTCATCGGCGTAGCGGATATTATTGATGTATTCACCGTTCACTTGGATTTCCATCTCTAGGTTTGTGAGGGCTTTAGTAAAAATTTCTCAGAGTATATATTGAAAAGAGTCGGCGAGAGCACACAGCCTTGCATTACTCATCGCATGATTTTCACTTGGTCGGTCAGCTGGTCTTGTACCTTGACTTAAGCACGCTGGTTTCAGTATAAATTCGTGATGATCCGAATGTCCTTCTTATCCAATCCTACTCTTTGTAGGGCGGCGAACATCTTCTGGTGCTGACAACGGTCAAATGCCTTGGCGTAGTTATTAAAACAAATATAGACATCATAACTGACATCGCGGCATCTCTTAAGTAGGACTTGTAAGGTGAAAAGTGCTTCACGTGTACCCATGGAGTTGTGGAATCCAAATTGCATTTCACCGACATTTTGTTCGCATTTCTTGTTAATTCTGGCATGTATGATTTTAAAATTGAGCATTGAGCAGGGATTGTTAGATATTTTAAAATCTTCTCATGTTCAACGACATTAAACTAGACATTTTTAAAAGATATTCACAAGGCTGTTACTTTAGCACGAATGAACAAAGTGCTTTAAAATAAACGGAGGAAGGGGCTTGTGCAATAATAGCTTCTGCTCACGCGTTTATACTGAAAAAACCTTTTATTAGACTACAAAAATCTTTCATTTAGAGAAAAGGTTAATTTAGAGCCCCAAAATAACTGGCTAGTAGCAGCTCTCTGTGAAATATTATATTCATTATATAATATATAAAACAAGCAGAACTAAAATGTGAATCACAGTCAAGTACAGCTGTAGAAAATTTAGAAATAGATCCTATTAGGTTTCATGATGGCCTCAAAGTACCTAGTTATCAGTGCCTAGATAAAGTTAAAAGCTATTATTGTGAGAATATCAGAAAACTAAGAGCACAGTACGGAATTTTGTTGTTTACATATTCTGTAATAGCTTCAAAGGGTTTAGAAATGATAAAATTTAAGTCAGATTCTCAGGATCCTTTGATAGATAAGACATATCTCTATGGTGGCCATAGCTGTATAAATTTAATGATAACTGGTAGGACAACTACTTATGTTTGGGATCACCATGAAGATGAAGGTTTGAAACTATTAGGAATTGAAAGACAAATTCAAATAGGTTTAATAACTGTAATGGAATATCACAGGTATTGTACAGTTAACAGATACACAAATACAGTTGCTTTAGATGCACATTTAACAGTGCTCTTAAGTGATCAAAGAAAGTTATTAGTCCGGAAACTAAAAGTAAACAAGCCAGATGGGTTTTTAAAAGTTTTGATCCTTACTGAATGGAGTTGTAAGTAATCAGAAATGTATCTTTATTTAGTATATTATTTATACTTGGTTCAATATATTTTTATATTTGATACTATACGACTTTCTAGATTTTTCAATTTTAATATAATATGGAAAATGTACATATACATGTTTTTTTATTAAAAATCAACTGTTTTATTTAAATTGAAGCAAGATTGATAAAACATTGTAGAAAATATTTACATAATTTAAAATTTTAAAGGATAATACGATCCTGTTGATATCCAAGAATAATTTTTCTTCACACAATGTTGCCAAAATGAATTTTATTATTTTCGGTTTAAATTATCTAGCCGAATTCTAAGTCTACTATACCATAAAGTCAACTTAATGAATGGAGTGAAAATAATACCACCAGACAGACTCTGTGGTAAACTTAATTTATATAAAAAGACCCATTAGAATATTCACCACTTATTTAAAATTTAATTCTAACCTCAAAGGTCAAGTAAATTAAACTTTTATTATATGTATTATGTTTTATATACCTGAGACCCCAGTAAACCCTCTAACGCCTCTACCCCCCCTAGGCCCCGGCCGGCCTATGGCCCCCTTTTCTCCCGGTAATCCCCTGGACAGTACATCTCCGTCTAGGCCCTAAACAATCGCACTCATTAGAACATAGCTTCAACTTAAGCGTGTTTGCTCTTGAATGTGAAACATTAAAGAACAATAATCATGCCTGGATATATCTACAACATTAATACAAATAAAAAAATGTTAAAATAATAATTTTAAAATGTTGCTCGAAAAGTTCATGTGACCATATACAGAGGAAAATAATATTTCGATCGTTTTTTATGTCCATCAATGATTATTATCAGTTTGAGTGGAAATTCTTATTCATTAGGAAATGAGTTTTTCTCAGTACTTTGAACTATCTAAGTATCTCAAGCTTTTCTTGCTATAGGGTATATTTATTAAGTAAAAACTGTCTCAGATATATACAGTGGTGTTAAAAAGTCCTGCATCACCTAAGCGCCTTATAGTTTTTGAGGTTTAACACAAGTTTTTTGTATATATTCGGTAATTCATTTTAAGTTTGTGCTTGTAATTAGCATTATCAGTATACTTACCAAAGTTTTTTTAATTACTAACTCAAAATTCTACAGAAAAGATTAAAATAATCTGATTAAGAGATTTCGCATAATCCGAGAAAATGAGGTGATTATTAAGTCGTTAAATTACTCTTAAATTGAATCTTAATGAAAAATTTTTTGACTATATAAACACTGTAGTTACCCTAACACATTTATTCGCTCTTTGATTTTTGATAAAAAGTCAAAATGTCATCCCAGACCAAAGAAACTAAATTATCGAACGAAAAGCGTTTTGAAATTATTTTTCACCACAAAAACGACAAATCTAGTCGCGAAATAGCATCCGCAGTAAACTGTAATTAACGATCATAAAGAAGTATGCTGAACAAAGGAAAAATCGACGACAGACCGCGTAGTGGCCGACCAAAGAAAACTAAAGAAACCAAAAAAAGAAAACCAAAAAAAACAGATAAAGTGTGGCAGACATAAGCCTTCATTCCACCCAATTGAAGAAGCTGTGGTCTGAATCTACAGGTGTAAGCGTGTGCACTTCCACTGTGAGAAAAAGACGCTTAGTTTGGCTAGGACGTAAGGCACGAAGAAACCACTGCTTTCAGAAAAGCAAGATTGCACGTTTGAAATGGGCCAAGAAACATCGAATCTGGACAGCAGAGCAGTGGCAGAGTGTACTGTTTAGTGATGAATCCACTTTAATATTAATAATCATGCTGGAAATGCCTACGTCAGAAGATTTCCCGGTGAAGAATTGTCTCCAAAATGTGTTCTTTCCACAATTAAACATCCAACCTCCGTTATGATATGGGGTTGCATGTCAGCTTAAGGAGTTGGTCGCCTACACGTTGTCTCTGGGATGATGAATGCTACCAAATACATTGAGGTACTACAGAATAAGATGCTGCGTAGTGGAAAAGACCTGTTTGGAAAAGAAAAATTTATTTTTCAGGATGATAATGCTCCTTGCCATACAGCAAAATTGGTTAAAGCTTAGATGGAGAGTAATGAAGTTGATAGGATGGACTGGCCAGCGTAATCCCCGGACCTCAATCTCATCAAGAATTTGTGGCAAAGGATATCAAGCATGATTTTCAAAAGCAAACCCACAAACAAAACGTAATTAATCAAGTCTCTATCCACGTTTGGCATCACTGTATTTCCATGGAGGAACCGCAAAAATTAATAAATTCCATATCCAAAAGATATGAAATAGTTATTAAAAACAAGGACTGGCCAATTAAATATTAAAATTAGTTTAAATTACTTCAATGTATGTATAATATTGTCTTGATGTAAATAGCCTAATTCTTGTAATATTGAATAAAAAATTTTCCGAACTACATTTTTTTTATTAATCAAAATTTTTGCTGTGTTTCCAGTTTATAATATTGTGTTTAAGTGCTTTTTTGATGTAAATAGTAAATAGTTAAAACATATTTAAGGTAAATGCCTTAAACTTCTATTTTCATGTATTTGGTAAGGTGATGCATGACTTTTTAACACCACTGTACATAATTCGAAGTCCATAACTTTTTTTTGATTATTTATTTCCCCCCATAATATATTTGATGACAGTATTGATGTAAAAACCATCTCAGATATATAGATAATTCGAAGTCCATAACTTTTTTTTGCTTATTTATTTCCCCGCATAATATATTTGATGACAGTATTGATGTAAAAACCTGTAAACAATAAATATGAGATGTCCACTTTAGGCCAATTGTTCGAACGCTAATCAATACTTGATTGTAATCAAATATTTAATTAATAAAATCAAATACGTCACGTTTTTAGGTTATGTTGACTGATTTATTTTATTTAACTTTATTATTTTTCGTTATAATTTTAAATAAACCATAATTAAACTCTTTCTGATGTTAATTTCATGTTATTATTTACAAATAAATAATATTAGGTCATTTTTAATAATTTTGACAGCTGCTGTGACGTCTTCTTCTTCTTCTTCGTCTAGCCATTCACGTCCACATCTGAACATAAGCCTCTTGGTCTCCAGGTTAAAATTGATCTGTGCCATTTGTTTAGATCGCTCCTAGCTACATGTCCAGCGTATTCCCATTTCAACTTTAATGATTTTTGCACCACATCGGTGACTTGGGTTTTCTGTCTTATCCATGTGTTGGTTTTCTTGTCCTGCTGTGACGTATTTAATTGTAATTAAATATTTGATTACAATCAAGTTTTGATTAGCGTTCGAACGATCGGCCCTTTTAATTCCATAAACTCAAAATTATAGAGTAATTCCTAAAAAACTGTATTCCTGTTAACAAATCATGCTAAAAGTGTTTCATAGTTGTTGTGATAATTGGAAAATGTCAATTGGACCTAAAATACTATCAATTGATTTATACTTGAGATCGGTAATATCATCACGGGTGCTGTGACGTCATTACGATTGAAAAGATTAAATGGATCAGGGGGTGAAGGTTAGGTCAGATGAAAGGGTTTTTTTTATACCAAATTCAACGACGGTAATAATTTAAATAAGTACGCCAAACTTTCAACTAAATGTTTATTTTCAACAATAATCAATAACATTAAAATATGAAAAAAGTTTATAGGAGGTGATCAAAATAACCTTTTCCTTGCCAAACCGTCAAACCATTAAGCAGTTCACTGCTGCCATCTGGCGTAATCAGGGTATATGCTTGTCTGATTTTAGTTTTTAAATAGTCTTTATCTGTGAGTTCTTCATTATAAACGATTCCTTTTAAATAGCCCCATACAAAAAAACCTAAGGCTAATAGCACAGGCGATCTTCTAGGCCATCGGAATGATCCATTGGTTCCAATCCATCTGTTTGAAAATGTGCCATTACGGTAATTTATCACAATACCGCATAATGGGGGTGCTCCACTTATTGCCATAACATAGCTCCTCTTTTGCGTAAAGGAATATTCTCCAGTAACAAAGATATATGAACCTATTAAACGCGTATTAAAAAACGAATACCAGGAATTTATTCCCCATCTAGTTTAAAAACGAGTTTTTCTTAATCAGTGCGGATTTTCTACTGACCAATAATGAGAGTTACAATTTTATTATTCTGGAAACGAGCTTTATCACCTCACAAAATTCTAGTTATAAAGCCAGAGGCATCTTACATCATCATTTGCATTATGGCGATGAAGGTTAGTCTTTGATCCAAATCGGTGGGTCGCAATTTATGAACCAAACACGGTTTAGTGAATGATAATGGTGTTTTTTAAAATCATTTAAACTGGAGTTGAAAAGATCTACGTATTCATTAGGTGTGAATAGAAAAGACATTTTTAATACTGTATAAATTAATGATATTTTAAAATTATTTTCTAAAACTACAATGAACGTGTATAAAATTAGTGAGTAAACACGAGGAACGACATTATACTATTTTTCTAAGTAAAAACGTTGTACGTCACGATTTATACAAAGTGACGTCACTTGTATTTATTATGTCCAGAACATCAACCTTAGAGTTCAAATTTCTCTAACACAGCTAATAATACAACACCCGACACAGAACTGCTCGATCTTTCATAGGCGTCAACTTGGTATAATAATCAGATAAATTTAATCATGAGTATATTGAGAATTTTAGAAATAATTTAATTAAATAACCAAAAACATTTGATATTATTAATAATATAAGTTTTATGAAATAACAGTTCAAGTTTAATACTCCACAAAATAATAATTTTAATTAAATATATTAGACAATCGTACGCCACTTATATGGAATACCTTCAATGACAGCTCAGCATTTGGCAAAATTGTTTACAGTGTTGCCTTATTTTTAGAGCAAATATTTTGTTTATGTTTTGATTTCTTACACAATTTGATTCACAATATATTATATATTAATAAATTGTATGTATTGTTAAACTCTATGCCAAAAACAACTAACTAGTCTTTAGAAAGCTGATGAATAGC